GGCTGGGAGACCCCCCCCAATTGGGACAAACACGGGTTTGGGGCAAATCTGGGGCTTGCTGTGTCCTGTGTGAGCCAGGAATGAGCCCCTGGCCCAGCCGCTCCCAGTCCTGTCCCCATCACCACCCCATCCCATCCAGTCCCAATTCCATCTTCCTGTCCTCGTCCCCTCCCTATCCCATCCCCATCCCATTGCTGTCTTGTCCCCATCCCATCCCCTCCCAGTCCTGTCCCCATTGCGACCCCATCCCATCCCATCCCAGTTCTGTCCCTATCCCATCCTATCCCTGTCCTGTCCTCATCCCATCCAGTCCCAATTCCATCCTCCTGTCCTCGACCTCTCCCTGTCCCATCCCCATCCCATTGCAGTCTTGTCCCCATCCCGTCCCTATCCCATCCTATCCCTGTCCTGTCCTAGTTCTGTCCTGTCCCCATCCCCTCCAGTCCCAGTTCCATCCCCATCCTATCCTGGTCCTCTCCCAGTTCTGTCCCCATCCCATTCCCCATCCCCACCCCGCCCCAGTTCTGCCCCCACCCATCCAGTCCCAGTTCTGTCCCCATCCATCCAGTCCCAGTTCCATCCTTATCCTCTCTCCATCCCATCCCAGTTCCGTCCCCAGTCCCTCCCAGTCCTGTCCCCATTGTGACCCCATCCCATCCCAGTTCTGTCCCTATCCCATCCTATCCCTGTCCTGTCCTAGTTCTGTCCTGTCCCCATTCCCTCCAGTCCCAGTTCCATCCCCATCCTATCCCCATCCCAGTTCTGTCCCCATCTCATCCCTGTCCCGTCCGCCTCCTGCCCCCATCCTGTCCTGGTCCTCTCCCAGTTCTGTCCCCATTCTGTCCTCATCCTCTCCCCATCTCATCCCAGTTCTGTCCCTATCCCATCCTATCCCTGTCCTGTCCCCATTCCCTCCAGTCCCAGTTCCATCCCCATCCAATCCTCATCCCATCCCCACTCCCTCCCAGTTCTGTCCCTATCCTGGTCCCGTCCCAGTTCCATCCTCATTCTCTCCCCATCCCATCCCAGTTCAGTCCCCAGTCCCTCCCAATTCTGTCCCCATCCCCATCCCATCCCCAATCCCTCCCAGCGTCGTCCCCATCCTGTCCTCATCCTATTCCCATCCCAGTTCTGTCCCCATCCTGGTCCCGTCCCAGTTCTGTCCCCATCCATCCAGTCCCAGTTCCATCCTCATCCTCTCCCCATCCCGTCCCCAGTCCCTCCCAGTCCTGTCCCAGCCCGTCCCCACCTGTCACCGCCTCCTTGGTGACGAGCGCAGGCCCCAGGGGACAGAAGGTGTCGAAGGTTTTCCGTCTCCATTGTGGCCCCATCTCATCCCATCCCAGTTCTGGCCCCATCCCATCCCTGTCCCATCTCCCTCCTGCCCCCATCCTATCCTGGTCCCGTCCCAGTTCTGTCCCCATCCATCCAGTCCCAGTTCCATCCTCATCCTCTCCCCAT